AGCCTACATAGACATTCTTCTGTTGTAACTGTCTATAACACTCTGCCTTTAAGTACCTGTAATATTTTTCTCTGTGTATTTACCACTCTGGAGCTCTAGCAAGGAAACCAGTTATGCTACTTCATGCTGATAGTGTTTTCCACAACTTTCAGGACACATGACACCTCATGTCTTACTTGAGCAAGTGGGCCCTTGGACAGAGGTAACAAGATAACTATAGTATCCACAATCAGCCAACACAAGACATGAATATGCTTGTCAAACAGCCTCAAGTTATGTACTCCCCTAAGATAACCGAACAGAAAGTGGTGTAGGCCTACACTCAAGAGAACATCAATATCAGGCACCTGGGACAGAAGGTCATCATCAGGGAACACATTAGTTGTAGTAATTATGGGGAGATATGGGATTTTCTAACATATAAAAATGAAAGCCAGTCTTCACTCAGGACCACAGTTTGGATGGGAAGACCTGTAATTATGGCTAACAAGTCAGTGAGGCAGCAATGTTGAGAACCAGTAGTCTGTGGCAAATATTTAAGATTATAGAGTTCTATTTAAAATAATGACATATTTATGCCACACAGAATTTCCTTTAAGCTGTTTATAAAGTTTGAGACTCTATTATCAAAGGGAGTTTTTTTCTACCTCTTTGTCCTTTACAGGTATAAGTCTAACCTTCTAAGTTAAAACCAGTCACAGTCAGGCTGCAGGGCTCTGAGTAAACCATCCCTCCACAGACTCTCAGCTTTTATCCAGTATTGCAGACACATTAATTAATTACAGGTATAAACCATGACCTAGCCACCTGAGTGTTTAAGGCCAGAAACTAAAGACAAATATTGTATACTAAGGTATGCTAACTAGTTTAATTAAAAAGTGTTTATAACATAAAGACAGGCCAGATGCTGTCACACCCATTTCTTCAAAGAAGACTGATTTACACTGATGAAATTTCACCCACAAAAGTGGCAACACTAGCTACTGAGCAATCCTGCCTTTAATCTCAACTGCTTCAAAGGGTCCTATGGACCGCAGACAATCTGTCAGTCGACTTTCTCCATGTTGTTTAGGACATGGGTAGGTAAGTCTTCCAAAAGTACTAATCCACAAATCTCATGGCATGAGCAGAAGGCAGACACCCTTAAATCCTCTGACATAAACAACTGTGGAGGACCTAGGAGTGGCGGTCCATGCCACCAATAAAACTAAGTGAATATTTTGAGCTTTTCTCTTCCTCTGGAACGGATGGGCAGAAGGGAAAACACTGTCCTTGTTGGTTCTTTTAACTCAAGAGGTGGAGAGGAAAAGATGCTTATGGATCTGGGAAATGACTGCTCACCTTGCCTTGGGGGAAGGCAGAGTAACACTGCTGTTTCTCACCATAAAAAAAGCACTGGTGCAGGTCTCCACATTTTTCTGTGAAATGGAATCATAGCTCAGTCACATTTAGGTAAGTGGAGGCCCTTGGTTCTTGCTATATTAGAAAGAAACCAAACTGGAGGAAAGGCTATGTCACACAAACAATTTCTGAGATAGAACTCTCACCCAAGTCGAATAAATAAAGCATTAAGAGGAGAAACTAGCAAATGTCTAGAAGGTGAACCCATGTCTGGGAGTTCAAACTTACCTTTCATTATATAAACTTAAAGGTCAGACTGGACTTCAATAGGTCATCTATTGGAAATCCACAAGTAAAACAAATATCAGAGGCATTGAGGTAGGTATCCCAGGGACACAGGCCAACATTTCACCAGAAAGAAATAGAACAGGTGATGTGGCCCTTTGTCGTTGAAGCAAACTCTGTGCTCCCCAATGCATCACCACTCAGCAGGAGGCTGGGAATTGTCATCTTTCACCTTTCTCCCTTCACTTCAAAGGACTCTCCACAGCCTCATAAATCTCCCCTCAAGTCCTGTACCAGCTCTTCATCTTCCATTTGAAAGTTTCATCCTGCAGGTGTCTTCTACCCCCATGCCTATTGTAGATACTGCTGTTGTCTTTTCCCCAGTGGGAACCTAAAATACAATTTTATCCTTATTCTGAGATTTAATGGATTAAATGTTTGTATTTCTACCCTGTAGACTCATTAGTTTTTGCAAGGTTTCTCATTATCTCCATAAACACAGAGAGGATCCTGCAGGACAATCTAGAATGGCAGTTCTTAACATCTTTTTTATGGACCACTTTGGGTGTTCAAATGACCCTCTCAACAGGGTCATTTGACCTATGACCACCAAAAAACACAGACATTTGTGTAGGATTCATAACTTGAAAAATTGCAACTGTGAAGTAGCAACAAATAATGTTAATATTTGGGGGCTGCATGCCACAAAGAAGTATGTAAAAAGACAAAAGCATTAGGAGGGTTGACAAACTCTGTTGTAGAATTATCTTGGAAGAGCCTCAAGGAGGGCAGTCTGGATGTAGTCTGTCTGCCCAGCTAAGTTTACAAGGGTTTCTTTAAGTTTGAAAAACAATTCTCAAGTCAGGGTGGACATTATTTTCTGGGTTTGAGTGAGCATAAATACATTTAATCTGTCTGACTTTTATTTTTTTAAAAAAAACATGGTTGCTTTATTATGTGCATTGATATTTTGCCTGCATGTATGTCTGTGTTAGAGCCTCAGATCTTAAGATTTATAGGCAGGTATGAGTTGCCATGTGCGTGATGAGTAGAGAATCTTGGTTCACTGGGAGAATAGTCAGTGCTCTCAACTACTAAGCCGTCTCCCAGGACCATTCTTTTTCTTTCTTTCTTTCTTTTTTTTTTTTTTAACGTTTTGTATTTTTTGTCTTCTGCTGGTAATGAAGCTATGAACCTAAATTTATCACTCTATCTTTTGCTTATTTGCAAGTTGGGTTGATCCTGTCTAATGCTTTGGTTATGTAGCACCAACTGTAGAACCTGTAAGCCCAGGTACTGAGAGCTTGCCCTTTTTAGACATACTCTGCCTACAAGTTGAAATCCTTGTAAAAGTTCTTCTGTACTGGCAGGTGGTTCTCAGATTTCATTGATTTTAATCATCTGTATGGCTAAAACACATACATAATCTAAAAAACTGATAATTCCAGGATCCATGGAGAAAAGCAATTAAACTGAGAAATTAACACAGCAATGTGTGAGAGAGAATCAAAAGCCTTACCCTAACCCAAGGTTGATTTGGCTGAGTGGAAAGAGTTGTGGGAAGCAAAACTGTGGTCAGAACACTTTGTATGAAATAAAACCTGAAGGATCTAAATAAAGAACTAATAAAGCATTCCCACTATATCCCCTTCATCGACAACGAAAATAAAAAAAAAAAAAAAATAAGAGGCCAAGGGGTGGTGTCATAGATCATTAATCCCAGCCATTGTGAGGCAGAGACAAGCTATTTTCTGTGTGTTTGAATCCAGTATGGTCTTAAGAGGGAGTTCCAGGACAGTCTGCAAGGATGCATATAATCCATTTCACTAAACAATCAAAAAAAAAAAAAACAATAAAATAAAATAAAATAAAAACACAAGGAAGCAGAACAATCTCACTGTGAGTGATTCTTTTCTTTATATCCAACTGCACTCAACTAGCAATGGTTCAGTTCTGACCCAGGTGAGGAATATATACGGTATTGAGTTTAGGCAAAGTGGGCTCCAGCTGTATGCTTATGAAAAGCTGTACGCTTATGAAAACCCATTATCAATACTTGGTTGACATTCCAGTCAATACAGCATCTCTCAGTCCTCCCTGAATGTCCCACAATTACAAAGAAAACCATATCCAATGATTTATCCTCACAAGTGGAGAGGCATTAGCTTGTAAAAGGAAGACAGCAGGAGCCAGAAGTATGATGATGATGTTGATGGATAACAACAACTCTGGTCCCCTATAAACAAATACAATATGTACTTAATTGATTCTTTCACTTTCCTCAGAAATAATACCTTACCAACTAAGATAATGTTACTTGGATATCAATCATTCTAAAATATTTGTCTTCCTGACTGACAACACACTTTTTGGAAGATAATCTCTCACAGATATCTTGTGGCGCATGTTGGGAGGAGGTAAAGGAGCCATGGAAATTATGATGCAGCAAGGGATTATAAGTCTAAACTTCACAAGACCAGCTTAGTTGATTGACAAATTCCAGCAAAGATGAGGCACATGTCGGCTGCCCTACCTACTTTGGTTGTCATTTCCATGTCTTTTGGTTAGTTAACTCAACAATATACCAAGATGAATGCAATCATATGATATACTTTTCAGGTGTTTTTTGTTCTTTGTGTTTCCTAGTGAGACCTTAAAACCAATTTTTATGTGAAGAATTGTGAAGAAGTTCTCATATTGAGAAAGCATATTCTTGCATGAAAAGGAAAACACCCCAAGGTTTAGATTCCTATCGATAGTGAGGGGGAAAGAGAAAGAAAATAAGAGAGAGGAAATGTGAGTTTGCAGACAAAGGAAAAGGAAAAAAGTGGAACAGACTAGAAAATGGTGACATTGGCCTTCAATCCCATGAGCATTAGGGAGGCAAACAAAAATAGATCTGTTTGAATTCCAAACTTGCTTTATTACAGAGAGTGTTCTAGGATAGTCTCCAAAGGAATAAAGGAAATGTTTGTCTCAAAAGAATGATCAGGCTCTACCTCTGAGCGGAAGTGCGCATGGGCGGGGGCTGGCAGCTACCATATGGGGGGACCCTGGCCGGACTAAGCGACCCAGCGGAGGGGGAGCTCCGATGGGGAACCTGGGACCGCAGTTTTGCTGCATGCATCCTGTTCTCCGGCACGTTATGCTTGTCACACGGACACAGGCCAGTCTTCAAGGGCTCGGGTCGCATAATGCTGGTTAAGGGTCAGATACACCCCATGAATGAGGTTGTCCAGTACCTGAGAGACCTGGGATGGAAGCTGTTGTGCCGGCGCTGTGCTTGTCAGCATCCTCGAGGGATCCACATCCCTGAAATCCGAGAAAAGCCCTGCCCACTCTCTCTGCCCCTCTTTGGGGTCACCACTGCCTGTCGGGTCTTCAGCCCTATAGTGGTAATCTAGTTCAACAAAGAAGCAGGACAATGATACTGACTTTTGTGCTGGGCAGTGCCCCTCGGAGCGGGCCTTCACTTCGGCCCCTCTTGGGGTCCTCATTGTCACTCCGGGTTCGCTCAACATCAGTCACCGATACACACCATGTAGAGCTGGCCAGGGAACGCTCCAAGACTGTCACCTCCTTTTACAACCAGTCAGCCATTGAAGTGGCAGCAGAGAAGCCCTCAGTCCGCCTCACTCCCACCATGATGCTTTATTCTGGTCGTTCACAGGATGGCAGCCACCTTCTGAAAAGTGGCCGTCACTTGCAGCAAGAGCTACCAGTGAGGATTGCTCACCGCATCAAGGGCTTCCGTAGCCTTCCTTTCATCATTGGTTGCAATCCCACCATACTGCATGTGCACGAGCTATACATCCGGGCCTTCCAGAAGCTGACAGACTTCCCTCCGATCAAGGACCAGGCCGATGAGGCCCAGTATTGCCAGCTGGTGCGACAGCTGCTGGACGACCACAAGGATGTGGTGACCCTGTTAGCTGAGGGTCTCCGTGAGAGCCGGAAACACATAGAGGATGAGAAGCTGGTCAGGTACTTCCTGGATAAGACTCTGACTTCAAGACTTGGGATCCGAATGCTGGCTACTCACCACCTGGCACTGCATGAAGACAAGCCTGATTTTGTTGGCATCATCTGCACTCGTCTGTCACCAAAGAAGATTATTGAAAAGTGGGTGGATTTTGCCAGACGCCTGTGTGAGCACAAGTACGGCAATGCCCCTCGAGTTCGCATCAATGGACATGTGGCTGCCCGTTTCCCCTTCATTCCCATGCCACTGGACTATATCCTGCCTGAGCTGCTCAAGAATGCCATGAGAGCCACCATGGAGAGTCACCTAGATACTCCCTACAACGTTCCAGATGTGGTCATCACCATCGCCAATAATGATATTGATCTCATCATAAGGATCTCAGACCGGGGTGGAGGAATTGCTCACAAAGACCTGGATCGGGTCATGGACTACCACTTCACCACAGCTGAGGCCAGCACCCAGGACCCACGAATAAGCCCTCTCTTCGGCCACCTGGATATGCACAGTGGCGGCCAGTCAGGACCTATGCATGGCTTTGGCTTCGGGTTGCCCACGTCCAGGGCCTATGCGGAGTATCTCGGTGGCTCCCTGCAGCTGCAGTCCCTGCAGGGCATCGGCACAGATGTCTACCTGCGGCTCCGCCACATCGATGGCCGGGAGGAGAGCTTCAGGATCTGACTGCGGACTTTGGCCTGCTAGCCTGCCACACTCCTAGAACCTTCTGGGCCTGATGGGGGCCACTATGCTCCACACACTGCTGCTTTGTGGGGCTTAGCGCCTCAGACAGGTGGACTTCCATGGAGCTGGGCACCACTCCTCCTCAGCAGGGCTCACTGCTTCCTACTCCAAGTTTTGGAGGGGAGGAAGCAGGAGCCCCTGAGGCCTCTAAAACCAGCTCTGCTATTCTCACTCTCGAGGAATCCTTTGACCTGCTGTTTATTAAAGTTTGCATTTTGAATGCCCTCTTGGGCCCCCCCCAAAAAAAAGAATGATCAGAATAATGCTAATTATGATAATAATAATAATAATTTAAAAATTAAATGCTCATGCATTTATTTTATGCATGAGTATACTGTCTGCATGTATGCCCTTTTACCAGAAGAGGGCACTACATGCCACCAAGTGACCTCTGGAATTTATTGATAGTCTATGCTCCTGGGCCCTATCTTTAATGTGTGTGTGTGTGTGTGTGTGTGTGTGTGTGTGTGTGGTGTGTGTGTGTGTGTGTGCGTGTGTGTGTTTAATTTGTAGAAGACTGGGCGGCACATGTATGATATGCCAGCAGACAATGGGATTGAGTATGGAGGCAGAATGCATACAAAACATGTGTGCCTGTGGGACCAGCAATACAAGCTACATGCCACCCAGGTCTCTGATTTATTTTTTTTATGAAATAAATAAAGGTGGACAACGAAAGACTCACTTTGGAATCAGAATCTCTGTTTCTTCACATACTAACCAAAGTTCAAACAAGCACAACAATTTGTTTGTTCTGTGTAAACATACACTACTAGACTAGTTCAGCTTTCCAGTAATACATGAAGTTTCACTGATCACCAGGCCAAGTTCCCTTTGATATTCTTCATTTATTTTTGATTTTTGCATGTACTAAGGCCAGGTTAATTATTTTAACTCTAATTATTTTTGATTGTGTAGGGAGGCCAGAGGATCTGTATTTCCTGGAGTGTACAGACATAAAGACAAATGGGAAATTAATTAAAAAAATTAATTTATAGATTGATACAAAGACTTGAAAGGCAAAATTACTGGGCAGGGGCCATGTGAGCTTTTATCAACAGCACTCAGGAAGCTGCATGAGTTTGAGTTCAACAGAGCCTCAGGTCAGTAAAAGCTGCATAGAGAAGCCTCATCATGAAATCACAAAAGAAAAGAAGGAGAAAAAATAAATGAGAAAGATGACAAGAAAAATAAAAAAAAAAAACAAGAAAAGGTCTAAGAAGGAGAAGTAGAAGGAAAGTAGAAGTTGATGTGGGAGAAGAAAGGAAGCAAGGAAATAAGGAAGAAAGAAAACCCAGTATGTAGCAGGAAATATCACCACATGCCATCATCGTAACTATTGTTTCTAAGAGTATCTATGAGTTCATGGCCAGCCTGGTGTACAGATTGAGTGCTGGGACAGTCAGAGCTACACAGAAAAATCATGTCTTGAAAAATTGAAAACTATCTTTTTGCAAAAAATTGAACTCTTAATCTGAAAATATCCATGGTCAAACTGAGTATGCTGGTTGGCAGGGAGGCAGATGAGATGCATACACACAAAAAAATGATAAAGCCAAAAACAAACAAATGGAAATATTTCAGTGAAAAGCTAGAGAGAGACAAGAGGAATAACAGGATATAAATGATTTAAAAATTCACAATGTATGCATATTTACAAGTACAAGAGTAGTAGGGCCAATCTTTGTTAAGCCCTGCAGCAAGCAAGGTCCTCTTTGATCTTTGCCAGGGCTGGATTTTCATGCATGGCTTGCCCTGTTTCTGCTTTGTAGTAAGAGCAACACCATCAGCAAAGGTAAATTATTTTTTAGGACCTCAATGCTTTCATATCTGTTCTCAGAAAGAAGACCTGCAACATATAATTGAGCACAGACAAAGTGACAGGCCCTGTCTTAAAAAAAAAAAAAAAAAAAAACAAGTGAAAATATAAAGAATACAAAACAAAGTTTATTTTTCCTCATAAGCCTGAAAATAACAGAAATCATATCAGCAATGAAGGATTTCCCTCCTCGACCAATGTTTAAGTGAAAAGCATGGCACATCCATATCTGAGTATACCAGTGGAGATTGGTGCACAGTATTTCTGAGGAAGAGGCAGAGGCAGAGGCAGGTTGATTTCTGACTTTAAGTTCTGCCTGGCTTACCAAGTGAGTTTGAAGACATGCTCTCAAGGTACAAAGACGAAACCAGTTTCAAAAACAAAAGAAAAGAAGAAGGAAGGAAGGGAGAGACAGGGGAGGATATGTAAATATGGAGAGAGTAAAAAAAAATCAAAAAAAGTCACATAGTCCCTAAGGCAGAACACCAACACATTCCTGAGTATTGTTGTGCTTCTATTGGACTCAGTTCTCATGTACTCAAACATAAATAAAAGAATTCCTACATTTAGCCACAGATGACGAATCAGGCCTCTGTTCTCTGAATTCTGAAGGTAGAGAATTTGCAGCTCCCCAGGAATTCAGTGTTAGTTCTAGAAGAGTAAGTGTATACAGAAAAATGCTGAAATACAAAAGACAGAAAGTCAGACAGACTTGCAATCATCCCCCAGCCTTCTTCTCATCCTATCTACCCAAAGCTTCCAACAATAACCAAGATAGCTTTGTTCGGAGTCTGAGTTTTATCAACACCATAATTTATGTACTGATGTAGGAAAAAGCCACTGCTCTGGACAACATAAAATAACACAGTTCCTGTAAAATAACACTGATATAAATAAAGAAGATAGGTAAATAGCTGATATATGATAGATAGCCAGACAAATAGATAGATAGATAGATGCATAGATACATAGATAGAGAGATACCTAGATAAGTAGAGCAATAAAGAGATAAATGATAAATGAGACAGGTGAAATTAGCCAAGTAGTGGTGGAAGGACTAAGGAGACATTGGATTTGTCTTACCAATTTAGAGGTAAGAATGTTATAAAGAGCTAGTACCAGAGCAGAGAAGATGACAAAAAAATCCACGTCTTGACAAAAAAGTAAATATGTAATCATAAACACAAATACAATCCACTTCAAATCATTCAAGACCAGTGCTGGGCATCTTGTTTATGAGGGAATGTGTAATCCCTTGTCTCCAGGCATCTCCATGCCACTCAGGTCTATTTTATATTTTATTTTCTACTTATTTGCAATACTTTTTTTTGATGTGTGGAATTTAATGTTTGGAATTGTTTCTCTGTGCCAAAACAAATGTGAACTCAGAGATTCAGCTGCCTATTTCTGCAGTGCTGGGAAGAAAGTTCAGCTGCACTGTATTAAACTTACTTTTATTTCTTTATCAATAGGAGTGTTTGAAATAATATTAATTTAGATACCGGGTAATGAACAAACATACACATGGAGAGAGTGGATATTACTAACGAGGAATAATAAGAGAAATTTATGGGTTTACAGTTCATTTTTCTGAATTCCAGGGCCAGGCAGGGAGACAGAGTCTACATTATATGAGACAATGTAATGCAGATATTACTATCTAAGCCTCTTCTTGCGATTATGAAAGGACAAGCCATCCTTTGCAACCTCTAAGATCATCACATGCTCATATTCACTATGTTCCCCTTAAAAGTGTCCCCCTCTCTCTTTCTCTGTCTCTCTCTGTCTCTTTGCCTGTCTCTCTCTCTCTCACTCCATCTCTCTTTCTCTCTCTCCCAATTTACAATATTTCTTTCATCATTGTACTACTGCTCTATTTTGTGGGGGCTGCTCTTTCTCCTTCATTTTTCACTCTCCATGACACCTTTCTCTAATTAAATAGAATTCCCTCCTTCTTTCCTCTCTCCTGTTGTCCTTCTCTCACGCAGGGAATGTTGCAACTATAGTGAAATTATTTTTACCATTCCTCAATGATTCGGCTAGTACTTTTTCAATTTTTAATTTATGAATTTATTTGTTTCTTCTTTATTAAAAATAAAAAAAGAAACAAACGAAAACAAAACCACCTGTACTTCACTAACCATTTGAGATGAAAGCCCCCAGATATAACAACAGGACTACATAGAGAAATCTTTCATGAAAAAACAAGATGTCAAATAACAATGTTGAGGTAACAAAATTTTAAAAAGGAAAAGAAAGGCTACTGAACGAAAACCTGTGGTAAAGTTCTGAAAATGAATTTTGGTGAACATTAACCCCAGTACTGGGAAAGCAGGCAGATCTCTGTGACTTTCAATTCAAACTGCACTAAAGGTGACAGGTTAACCTTCAAGCCAGCAGCATGCAGACTAAGGCAGTGAGAACCGTTCTCAGTGCTGGTGGTAAAATAGCCGCCACCATCTTTGATAAAACGCAGCAGAAACAACAAAGACTTTCATTTTAGCAATGTTGTTCTTTAACAGATAAAGTCTCGTGGCTACAAAAAGATTAAGATTTACAGTAAAGACAGATTCACATTAAGTAAAAGCTAAAGTTTTACAGTGTGTTTTAAAAAATATGAAGGCTTGGGAGAGAAAAAATGGTTTTAAAAAGACAGAGAAGAGCTGGGTGTGCGGCACATGCCTTTAATCTCAGCACTTGAGAGACAGAGGCAAGCAGAGCTCTGTGATTTGCAAAGTAAACCTGGTATGCAGAGTAAATTCCAGGACAGATAAGAGTTACCCAGAGAAACCCTGTCTCAAAAAAATTAAAAAAAAAAAACAGAGTAATAAAAAAGCCACATAAAGATGGAAAGCACAGAAAAATTATGCATGCTATGTGATATTCTGTTGTCTTTAAATTGTTTGACTACTGAGGAAATAACAACTGATAAAAGAAATGCTGCTGGATTAATTAAATTTATATACTTTAGAAATGCTTTGACTCCAAAACTTAAGTTCAAAGACAAGTTACTGGGTAAAAGGATTTCTATTTTTGTTTCCACAGAAAATGAAAAGCTGTGGATTCCTACCAGACTAATGTGGTTTGAGCAAGTCAGACCCCCTGAAACAGCATTGCTCTTGATCCAACATTCAAAACAGCTTGAACAAGGCAGCCTTACAGACCAT